TATTNCGACTCTCAATGAAAGCAAATTGAAGTTTTTTGTTTCTCTTTTGTTCTCATCCAGTCGCAGCATAATACTCTCCACACAACTTTTCTGGCTACTNTCGAACTGCTTTCATAGCTCAGTTGGTTAGAGCACCCGTTTAGTAAGCGGGAGGTCTTGAGTTCGACTCTCAATGAAAGCAAATTGAAGTTTTTTGTTTCTCTTTTGTTCTCATCCAGTCGCAGCATAATACTCTCCACAGGCTATTGCAAGTTGCAACCCATTATTCTCTACAGTTGTGACTTGTTTGGTTTTTTGTTTGTTTAAAATATGTATGTATTTTCTTATCTGTGTTTATTATTATTAAAAAAAAAAAGAATTCAAATCACATTAATTGCGATAAGAGGTTCAAATTGATTGATTTAATTCTCATGACTTCGGAGGACAATCTCTTTTAAAAGTAGTGTTTGAACTTATCCTTGTTGGTCTTTCTAGGCTNAATCACATTAATTGCGATAAGAGGTTCAAATTGATTGATTTAATTCTCATGACTTCTGAGGACAATCTCTTTTAAAAGTAGTGTTTGAACTTATCCTTGTTGGTCTTTCTAGACTCGTCTTACGATTACAGAATAATGTTAGGGCAAAATGTGCTCAAAATATACATATATCTCCTTATGTGTTGTAATTAAAAAAAAAAAAAAGAGTTAGCTAACAGATGAATCATTTTAATGTCTATAATCCAACNAAAAAAAAAAAAAAGAGTTAGCCAACAGATGAATCATTTTAATGTCTATAATCCAACGTACGAGTCATCTATAATTATTGGATCTAAAAGAGAGTTAAATATAAATAGTTTTATCTTGTATAGAAAGAAGTCATTTTACCAATATGTGAGTAGCTAGATAAAAATTAAACTACAATTTTTAAATCTATAATATGAAATAGGACATACTTCAATTAATTCATCCGACGATCTAAAATAGATTCATCTAACGATTATCAATGTCCCTCTTAAAATCATTCATACCATACCGTGTCTTCAAACACACGAGCTATCCCTGGTCATAAAATAAACTTAACGTTGAGACATGAGTCTCCCTCTCTCTCTCTCAATTGCCCTGTTACTCTGAGACATAAATTGGAAGGACGCCATGCATGTCAAACCAGGATTTCTGCCTGAAAACNAGTCATTTTACCAATATGTGAGTAGCTAGATAAAAATTAAACTACAATTTTTAAATTTGTAATATGAAATAGGACATCCTTCAATTAATTCATCCGACGATCTAAAATAGATTTATCTAACGATTATCAATGTCCCTCTTAAAATCATTCATACAATACCGTGTCTTCAAACACACGAGCTATCCCTGGTCATAAAATAAACTTAACGTTGAGACATGAGTCTCCCTCTCTCTCTCTCTCAATTGCCCTGTTACGCTGAGACATAAATTGGAAGGACGCCATGCATGTCAAACCAGGATTTCTGCCTGAAAGCAGTGGATGTTTTACTGTAGTGTGAGTTCATGAAGAGCATGTGTTTTGGGATGACGAAGAAATAGTTACTAACTTTGGAGTTGATAGCCCAAATCTAAGTTACTTGTCGGAATTGATAGACACCCTTCAATGACCATAACTATGAAATATCCAAAAGTTGGGTTTAGACAGTAAGCAGAGAGTAGATGTCATAGCTGTGTAGTTCATCTTTGCACATACATATAATTTAGGTCGGACACAAATAATAAATGAATCAAATTAAGATTATATATGAAAAATACGGTTAATGACAAGTCATTGAAGCCAAATTATGAGAGACAAATTTTTCATGAAAACCTTAATTCTCACGTGAATGATTTGCCTTTGACTAAATCGGAGAGGAAATTAGTTGAAGTTGAATACAAAATTTTGTTATTTTTCACAAAACATCCAAATTGCTAATGATAAACAGAATTCCACCAAATTCCACCCAAAAAAAACTTACAACATACTTATTTTCTTAAAGGAAATGTATTTTAAATTTATGACAAATTATATTGATAGTCCTTGTGATTCCCAAATTTATGAAATGATAAAAAGATAGTTGGTGTAAGCTGAGTGAAGTGTTAAGAGCTTTTTTAATGCTCTGTTTGGTATGAAGGAAAAATAGAAGGATAAAAAAGTGGATGAAAAAGTTTTCTTTCTAACTCACCAAAATCAATCTCTCCAAAATTAAAAAAGAAAGTGAATAAAAAATTAATTATTTATGTTAAAATGTATCTTATTTATTTATATATCTTTTAATATATATATATATATATATATATATATATGAATTTCATATATGAATATAATGATAAAATATGTATTTACACTTTTTTTTATAAAAAATTTAAAAATTAAAATATTTTTTCCATCTTACCGGGCACAAAAAAAAATTAATCATTTTTATTTTTCATCCATCCAACCAACTACAAAAGAAATAAAATGTATTATTCTTACTTTTCTTTTTAGAGAAATGAAAATGTATTTTTCATACTTTTCATTCTTTCTACTTTTCACACGGAGCATAAGGANTATAAAAAATTTAAAAATTAAAATATTTTTTCCATCTTACCGGGCACAAAAAAAAAATTAATCATTTTTATTTTTCATCCATCCAACCAACTACAAAAGAAAGAAAATGTATTATTCTTACTTTTCTTTTTAGAGAAATGAAAATGTATTTTTTATACTTTTCATTCTTTCTACTTTTCAGACGGAGCATAATGATCAATATTATCACTCTTATTGGTAAAAAAACAATGAAATTTCTAAAAAATAAGAAAAAATTCCTATCATATCCCATCTATAGAAAGTTCGAGTCTCTTTATTATCTTTTAAAGTTAACTAATACATGTAATTAATAAATAATTATAGTTATCTAAAATTTACTTTGCAAAGGTATATGTCTAATGTGATCCTCTTGGGAAAAAAGTTCATGTTAATTAAAAAAATAAGANGTTAACTAATACATGTAATTAATAAATAATTATAGTTATCTAAAATTTACTTTGCATATGTCTAATATGATCCTCTTGGGAAAAAAGTTCATGTTAATTAAAAAAATAAGAAAAAAAAAAATCTCCAAGTGGCATAAATAAACCTAACAATAATTCTTTATTTTAATTATTTAAAAACATTGATCATGAAAATAAAATATTAAAACAATTATGGCATGGAAAGCTGCCATGTTCTAACCCTAAGATGTATTGTATCCTTGCTATGCAGCCCAAGTTTTTTTTATCCAAGTTATACTTTTCAAATGATCCGTCATCATCATTACCAACAACTTAGTTTTAAAATAATTAAAATTTAACCACATCATTTTTATTTTATTTTAATCAGAACAAGGCAATGCATCAAAATATATTAGGTAGGAAAATTTAAATTACAATCAGACAAAAGAGAAATCTAAAGCTCGGGAGGAGAGAACCTAACAAATCCAAAAGGAGGAAACTGTTTAACTTAACAACTGTCACCCAATAAACAGTCCTATTATACGTCCTAGACTTGTGAAAAAAGCGAAAGTTGTGTAATCAAGCTAAATATCTAATATCATCCATAATAACTAACTTCCCATGGGAGAACATCTTCGATAGAGCTTAACTTGACAATACTAAGGCAATCATTCATGATAATGGCATTAAGAGAGTAAGAGGCCANAATATATGTCGTTTTACACAATTTTTTTTGTTCTACAATATCTGTCGTTTAATGAAATCAAAACATAATTAATATTTTTTCTTTCAAATTTACCCTTATCTATGTTTTTCAATAAGTGTTTAATAGATTAAGTATATGTTAAGTGTCTTTCATATTTCTTTCATTCCCAACACGTATTGAATAAGAGTATTTTAGTCTTGTACAATTATTTTTTACTCATGTTAGAGCTATTTAATAGCTTCTTTAATTCCTGTGTAAAAACTTTAAACGACAAATATTTAAAAATAGATGGAGTATTAGGATACTTCACGGATACTTTTGTAGTAGAACAATATATATAATTTTTCAGTTGAACTTTTAACATCTCTTTTCGAATTCATATACCATACAATACATTAACAAAATTTTATATTACTTCAAAAATACATGAGTGTTTTTTAAGTATTATCTACAATTGCATGTCAAAAGACTATATAATAAAACTATTACATTATAATCTTAACAAAAATTACTTCTAAATACTAAGTAAATATTAATTTTAATTCCTTTAATTAGTCACTTCATTTTTGTGAATATACCACAGCGACACGATATATATTTTCTTAAAACTTATTAATTTTTCTTATTATATGTTAAAGAACTACCAAAATATATGTGTTAAGTTGGTTAAAAATAATAAATATATTTTATTATAACCATATCCTGACCGTACCCGTATTCTATTTTTTTAAACTCTATCATATCACCGTATTCGTATTGTATCATACTTTTATTTTGTATCGATATTCGTGCTTCATAGCATTTAATGGTAATAGGCTCTCACACTTTATATGGTATGACTTTATAATTTTTGATCAAATAATATTCCTTATAAGTATAATAAATTGAGCTATACTATTGGAACTTTAATTTATTGATCTAATTTATTATAATATTTGAATTATTTGTAAGCCTTATCAAATATTAAAAGTTAGTGATAATTCAATAATTCTACTAAAATTACACTAGGTTAATAAATTACATCAAATTTTTATTTCCAATCACACATATTAAGTTCCTAAAACACGTACCCACAGGACATTTCCAAGTGTCAAATCCTTCTTCATTCTCTCTTTATGTTGCCTTCTTCTCATAGGCCAACCCACCACCTTAAATGCCCCACGACCTCCTCTACAACCCCACATCACCTCACCTTTGTGTGCCTCAAAAGTCTGAGTTTGCTCCTCCATTACACCAACCTCAGACGACTCAGACCTACCCGGGCTTAACAAACTCTTCACCTTCAAAATGATGCAAACCATGAATTCCTACACTTTAACAGCAAAAACAGCTGAGATCATGGCTAGGTACAGACCCATAGCTCCAAAACCGGAGGTTACGGCGAACGCAGCGGACGTGTCGGAGAACACATCAATGCCACAGAACATCCGGCAATCCGCTTACCTTAGAACCGTGTGGCCCGATTTGCAGTCAAGGCCAACAAGAACCAGAAAGAGAGGGAGGACTGCAATTGCACCACCTACTGTCAAGAGACAAAGGACTTGTCTTCAAGGACTCTATCCTATTCCTCCTCCTCAGGTAAACACTTCACCTGCCGGAAACCTCTCGTTCAATGCTTTAGGTCATGGCCCAAAAGGGTTTCCTCAGCTTATACCTGTCCCAATCTCAAATATCACCGCCCTCAACGGCGGCGTTGCAGTGGGAAATTCATGCACGTTGCCAGCGAACTTAGTCACACTACCTCTCCTCCCAATTCCTTCATCCCTTACCATCGATCCCCAACAAGCACCACCACCAGAAACCATAGGTGTTCGAGTTTGTGGAGGCAACAAAGATATAGACTTGAACACGGAAGCCGAAGATCCAGAAGAACAGGATTTCCTGCAGCAACTGCAAGGACCCACCAGCCCCAATATCATTGCCCCACAGCCGGTTCGACCGGTGGGCTCCAACATATGTGTTGGGTGCATCAGTGACGACAGTGGTCGAACAACTTCTGTGCAACTTCTCAAGAAACCAGAGGAGGTGGAGGAAGAGGTCGAGTCTGAGGCCTTGCCGGCTATTGTATCAGATTCAAACAACAAAGTCAGACTGGCGAATTCCGCTTATAAGGAAATGGTGGGTCAGCCGGAATGTTCATGGCTTGACACCGCCGGTGACGGAGGCGGTGCATGCAAGAGGATTGGTGGGGAGGTGATGCTCAAGTTTTTGGATGAAACTGTGCCAGTTTCATCAAATGGGTTTTCGTGCTGGGTGAGGATTGAGTGGGGAAGCAGTGGCAAGAAAGACCCAATAAGCAATGGAGAGAAGAACACAATCAATGCTTTTTGCGACGCTATAAGGTTAGACTGTGAGTCCAAGGATTACCTATTTGCATGGAAGTTCCACACAAGAGCTTCTTCTGAATCTGCTTCCAACTTTTGAAGTCCATGTTGTACGAAGATGGAGGGAGGGCAATCCAGATGCACCTGTTCAGGCAACATAATTATATATATATACATATACGTAGAAAAAAAAAACTAAAAGGTTTTTTCCCTTTCCTTTCTTCTTCTAATTCTGCCTCTCTTTTTTTGGGTTTTTCTTGGGGGTTTCACTGCCAACTTTTGAAGGTCAAGTTGTACAAGCATGTAAAGCAATCGATATGCACCTTCTGTAGCAATTGTAGATGTAATTAGACATAAATATATAGGCAAGAACTTTTTTTACCTTAGTTTATCTCCTTTGCTTCTACCTTAATGCTATTGTGATATGACAATTTGATCTAATTTGTTAATAATGTGCTAAATGATAAAATTCTAATGAAAAAATTCAAGAGTTATAATCTCACAACAACACTACTGACGTTTTATTATATCATTAAGTCAGTTTTCTAAGTTGTAAACTTCTAATAGAATTCTTCTTTTTTTAATGCAGTTTTTACCGTCTGAAAAATTCCACTCTTATATTGGTTGAGAAAGAATATGCACAACGGAGACATGATGTTGATAAGGACATGAAGTTTTGATGTAAATTGGACTTACATCTTACTCAGGAGCATCAAATAGTAAATTTTGAAAATACTGATCAACCTTGGTCATACTTTGGTGGATTCTTCAGACTTAAACAGTTGTCTGCGTATTATGTAACCTGCAAAATAGGTGGGAAGTTTAGTGTCAATGAGAATATCCAATCTGCAGTCTGCACTTCCTACAATTAATTCAAGGTTAGTGACAATTTGAAATGAAAAACAAGTTATTAATTTAGAAATTTCATTCTTTATACTTCTTAAAATCAAGCATATTTCAAGGTGACACATCATAGGAGAAGGTGATCGCAAAAAAAAAAAAAAAGAAAGAAAGTCTGCGTGCTTTAATATTCATGAGTATGCAAATTGGGCTACTATGGAACAAGCTGAAATCTTGAGGAAGTGGAAGGGAATAAAAAAAGGGAATGTGAATAAGCTCACTAGATTTTGTATTGTCAACCTTGTTTTGTATTTTCTATTGGTAAATAGATCGCACTAGGCTAAGGTTATTTTCGGAATCATGATCCTTGGAATTGAATTCAAACTATTGTTGTAACGTCTCGGACCTATATTATATAATATTGTCTGCTTTAGACTACACCCACACAACTTTAAATGCGANTTTAATTTATTGATCTAATTTATTATAATATTTGAATTATTTGTAAGCCTTATCAAATATTAAAAGTTAGTGATAATTCAATAATTCTACTAAAATTACACTAGGTTAATAAATTACATCAAATTTTTATTTCCAATCACACATATTAAGTTCCTAAAACACGTACCCACAGGACATTTCCAAGTGTCAAATCCTTCTTCATTCTCTCTTTATGTTGCCTTCTTCTCATAGGCCAACCCACCACCTTAAATGCCCCACGACCTCCTCTACAACCCCACATCACCTCACCTTTGTGTGCCTCAAAAGTCTGAGTTTGCTCCTCCATTACACCAACCTCAGACGACTCAGACCTACCCGGGCTTAACAAACTCTTCACCTTCAAAATGATGCAAACCATGAATTCCTACACTTTAACAGCAAAAACAGCTGAGATCATGGCTAGGTACAGACCCATAGCTCCAAAACCGGAGGTTACGGCGAACGCAGCGGACGTGTCGGAGAACACATCAATGCCACAGAACATCCGGCAATCCGCTTACCTTAGAACCGTGTGGCCCGATTTGCAGTCAAGGCCAACAAGAACCAGAAAGAGAGGGAGGACTGCAATTGCACCACCTACTGTCAAGAGACAAAGGACTTGTCTTCAAGGACTCTATCCTATTCCTCCTCCTCAGGTAAACACTTCACCTGCCGGAAACCTCTCGTTCAATGCTTTAGGTCATGGCCCAAAAGGGTTTCCTCAGCTTATACCTGTCCCAATCTCAAATATCACCGCCCTCAACGGCGGCGTTGCAGTGGGAAATTCATGCACGTTGCCAGCGAACTTAGTCACACTACCTCTCCTCCCAATTCCTTCATCCCTTACCATCGATCCCCAACAAGCACCACCACCAGAAACCATAGGTGTTCGAGTTTGTGGAGGCAACAAAGATATAGACTTGAACACGGAAGCCGAAGATCCAGAAGAACAGGATTTCCTGCAGCAACTGCAAGGACCCACCAGCCCCAATATCATTGCCCCACAGCCGGTTCGACCGGTGGGCTCCAACATATGTGTTGGGTGCATCAGTGACGACAGTGGTCGAACAACTTCTGTGCAACTTCTCAAGAAACCAGAGGAGGTGGAGGAAGAGGTCGAGTCTGAGGCCTTGCCGGCTATTGTATCAGATTCAAACAACAAAGTCAGACTGGCGAATTCCGCTTATAAGGAAATGGTGGGTCAGCCGGAATGTTCATGGCTTGACACCGCCGGTGACGGAGGCGGTGCATGCAAGAGGATTGGTGGGGAGGTGATGCTCAAGTTTTTGGATGAAACTGTGCCAGTTTCATCAAATGGGTTTTCGTGCTGGGTGAGGATTGAGTGGGGAAGCAGTGGCAAGAAAGACCCAATAAGCAATGGAGAGAAGAACACAATCAATGCTTTTTGCGACGCTATAAGGTTAGACTGTGAGTCCAAGGATTACCTATTTGCATGGAAGTTCCACACAAGAGCTTCTTCTGAATCTGCTTCCAACTTTTGAAGTCCATGTTGTACGAAGATGGAGGGAGGGCAATCCAGATGCACCTGTTCAGGCAACATAATTATATATATATACATATACGTAGAAAAAAAAAACTAAAAGGTTTTTTCCCTTTCCTTTCTTCTTCTAATTCTGCCTCTCTTTTTTTGGGTTTTTCTTGGGGGTTTCACTGCCAACTTTTGAAGGTCAAGTTGTACAAGCATGTAAAGCAATCGATATGCACCTTCTGTAGCAATTGTAGATGTAATTAGACATAAATATATAGGCAAGAACTTTTTTTACCTTAGTTTATCTCCTTTGCTTCTACCTTAATGCTATTGTGATATGACAATTTGATCTAATTTGTTAATAATGTGCTAAATGATAAAATTCTAATGAAAAAATTCAAGAGTTATAATCTCACAACAACACTACTGACGTTTTATTATATCATTAAGTCAGTTTTCTAAGTTGTAAACTTCTAATAGAATTCTTCTTTTTTTAATGCAGTTTTTACCGTCTGAAAAATTCCACTCTTATATTGGTTGAGAAAGAATATGCACAACGGAGACATGATGTTGATAAGGACATGAAGTTTTGATGTAAATTGGACTTACATCTTACTCAGGAGCATCAAATAGTAAATTTTGAAAATACTGATCAACCTTGGTCATACTTTGGTGGATTCTTCAGACTTAAACAGTTGTCTGCGTATTATGTAACCTGCAAAATAGGTGGGAAGTTTAGTGTCAATGAGAATATCCAATCTGCAGTCTGCACTTCCTACAATTAATTCAAGGTTAGTGACAATTTGAAATGAAAAACAAGTTATTAATTTAGAAATTTCATTCTTTATACTTCTTAAAATCAAGCATATTTCAAGGTGACACATCATAGGAGAAGGTGATCGCAAAAAAAAAAAAAAAGAAAGAAAGTCTGCGTGCTTTAATATTCATGAGTATGCAAATTGGGCTACTATGGAACAAGCTGAAATCTTGAGGAAGTGGAAGGGAATAAAAAAAGGGAATGTGAATAAGCTCACTAGATTTTGTATTGTCAACCTTGTTTTGTATTTTCTATTGGTAAATAGATCGCACTAGGCTAAGGTTATTTTCGGAATCATGATCCTTGGAATTGAATTCAAACTATTGTTGTAACCTCTCGGACCTATATTATATTATATAATATTGTCTGCTTTAGACTACGCCCACACAACTTTAAATACAAAAGTCCAAAACTCACACTTACGTACTACTCTACATTCACTTCACTAATCGACTGAACTCTGTCCCGCCTTGGGTGATGTAGGCTTTTAAGGGAGTACTCCCACCACGATAACTGCCACCATCCCACGTCATCACCCCACCAAACCGGGGTGGACCGAGGGATGCACAGCCTTGGGTGACTTCCACACTACGAGAGTCAATGACTCTGATACTAATTATAACACCATAAATCTACATTGTACAATATGATCTCCTTTGGATTAGGTCTACACGACTTTAAAACACGTTGTACAATGAAAGTACAAATATTACACTTATGTACCACTCTACATCCATCTCACTAATTGATGTGGAATTGGGTTATCACAATTGTATTTTTGATTCAAGCCACATATTATAAATGAAAATGAAGAATCCCACTAAAGTAATTTCTAAAGAAAGCTCATTCAAAATTCAGATAAGTTGGATGAAAGAATTTCAAACCTTCAAAATTGGTATACACCGTTTCTTGACCTACACCAAAGTAAAAAATCATGTTAGGTGTGGGTACACGGGTCAACACCTGCACCAAATTAAAAATTGTTAAAGGAGTGGGCAAACGGATCAACAAAGAAGGATATAAAGACAATTGAGTACACGCGATTCTAGAAACTGGATATCTAGAAAGTTGTTTGTTACACGATATTTCCTACATATATTCCAGATCATCCTCAAAAATCATCCCAGCAACCAAATCTCAGTTCTGATAATTATTTTAATCAGAAAACNACATGACCAAACCATTTTAATCTATTATCTCTTAACTTATTCTCAATTAGAGCTACACCTACCATTTCTTTAATACGGTCATTTTGTATTCTATCATTTCTAGTTTTTTCACACATCCACCTTAACATTCTCATTTTCGCTAAACTCATTTTGTTCCTATGTTATTTTCTAGTTACCCAATATTCCGTCTCATACAAAATTACTATCCTTATNCACTGTACCACAATGAAAGATAAGAGGAAAGCAACGTTGATTATAAGCACTAATTAGTGTGTTGTTTGTTTTGTTTTGGTTTTTTTTTAATATTGGTAGTGAGTCTGAAAAATCCCGAATTCTAAAATGTGTTGAGAGGGAGCTACAACGCCTCTACCATTATTAAGAAATGTATGGTTTTCATCTGGATGTATACGAAGCTTGAAAGATAAAGGAGACAAATTCTGCTTACATAAGCATAAGTCTGCATAAATCCAGTCTTGGATCAACAACTGACTTTACAAATAGTAAATGGTTAACTTTGTGCAGTATTCCATTACAAACAAATTTCAAAGTTGACATTGAAAGCAAGCAACATTTCTGTTCCAGACATGACACCATGACTCAAACCGAGTGAAACTAATGTATCAATGGATATAAAAATATACACAAATGGTCAACAAATCCATCATGTTCAAGAAAATCAATCTTAGAAGATAAATACTACCAAAGTAGCACCTAGGATCATGAAATTTTAGTAAGAATGAATGAAAAGTCAAAAGCTGGTCAACAAACAAACAATTCTAAAATGCATAGGCTTTAACTTAATTCCTCAACCTCATACAACAAATTCATCATGCTCAAGAAAATCAATCTTAGAAGATAAATACTATCAAAGTAGCACCTAAGATCATGAAATTTTAGTTAAGAATGACTGAAAGTGACCAAGTTTTGAATCGTAAAATCCAGGAGAGAACACTATATGGGCCAATTTACAACAAAATTGTATCATTTTCAACCAAAGGGAAAAAAAAAGGTACGAAGACAAAGGTTACTAAAGAAACCTGATTCTTCAACAATATGCTTGCAAAGCAAAACTACATACTGATAAACCAAACCAAGACTTATGTCCCAATTATTTGGAGTTAGTTATATGAATCCGTCTTCACCAATCATTTTGATTATGCACTATACGCTCATTTAAGTTAAATATTTTCATATCTTTTTTTATCATTTCGTTCAATATTAATTTAGATTTACTCCTACTTCTAGTACCATTAAGAAAAATTTTATCACTTTTTTGAACTGGTGCCTCTATCGGTCTACGTTAAACATGACCAAACCATTTTAATCTATTATCTCTTAACTTATTCTCAATTAGAGCTACACCTACCATTTCTTTAATACGGTCATTTTGTATTCTATCATTTCTAGTTTTTTCACACATCCACCTTAACATTCTCATTTTCGCTAAACTCATTTTGTTCCTATGTTATTTTCTAGTTACCCAATATTCCGTCTCATACAAAATTACTATCCTTATAGATGTTCGGTAAAACTTACCTTTCAATTTTATTGATATTTTTCTATCACATAATATACCAAGGGTGTGTTTGGGAAAGGGGATAAAGGGGGATAACCCCTAGTTGGATTNTGTTACCGCAAGCGGCACCCATTGGTCCCCATTAGAAGGTATATTTCTCTCTCTCTCTCTCTGTATATATATATCTTAATCTTGCCTTGTCGTTGTTTTCCTCTCTTGCCTTGTCATTGTCTTCCTCTCTACATCTGTGTGTGTATATATATATATATATATATATATATAT